GTATAACGTCTACAGTGGCGTGGAAACGTCAAAAGAACTGTGGATTGCGCTTGAAAAGAAATACAAAACTGAAGATGCCGGGTTGAAGAAGTTCGTTGCTGCAAAGTTTTTGGACTACAAAATGGTAGATAGCAAGTCTGTTATTACCCAAGTCCAAGAATCGCAAGTGATTATTCACGATCTCCTTGCTGAAGGTATAAGTAGAACTAATACTAGTGTTGGTAGTATTAATTTTATTATGTTTACTAACAGACTTTTCATTGAAGGTCTTGTCATTAATGAAGCACTCCAAGTAGCAGCGATGATTGAAAAGTTGCCTCCGTTGTGGAAGGACTTCAAAAATTATTTGAAACACAAACGTAAGGAGATGTCCCTTGAAGATCTCATTGTTCGGTTGAGAATCGAAGAAGACAATAAAGCTGCTGACATGAGAGCCCGTGGAAACTCAACAATAGTGGTAGCAAATATTGTTGAAGAGAACAAAAAGAGGAAGAAGGCTTCTGAACCGAAATACAACCCAAGCAAGAAGCGGTTCAGTGGAAATTGCTACAACTGTGGAAAAGTCGGACACAAATCTACGGAGTGTCGTGCTCAGAAGAAAGACAAGAAGAAGGGTCAAGCAAACATGGTTGAAAAGCATGATAATGTTGATGACTTGTGTGCCATGCTTTTCGAATGCAACTTGGTGGGCAATCCTAAAGAGTGGTGGATTGATTCTGGAGCCACTCGCCATGTTTGTGCTGTTAGAGAAGCTTTTGCTACTTATGCTACTGTTGGACCCGATGAGACGCTTTCTATGAGAAATGCTGCAAAGGCCAACATTGAAGGATGTGGGAACATATTTCTCAAAATGACTTCCGGTAAAGTGGTGACTTTGAACAACGTCCTTCATGTTCCCGAGATTAGGAAGAATTTAGTCTCTGCTGGACTTCTTGTTAAGAATGGTTTTAAATGTGTATTTGTATCCGATAAGGTTGTAATAAGTAAGAACGAGATGTTTGTAGGAAAATGTTACCTCACCGAGGGCCTTTTCAAGCTGAATGTAATGGTTGTTGAAAATAATAATAAAATTTCAGCTTCATCTTACTTACTTGAGTCAAATGAATTATGGCATATACGTTTGGGTCATGTCAATTATAAAGCCTTGCGGAAAATGATTAATTTGGAAGTGTTGCCTAGTTTGAATGCGACAAATCAAAATGTCAAGTATGTGTGGAATCTAAGTATGTTAAACATCCTTATAAGTCAGTTGAAAGGAATTCAAATCCTTTAGACTTAATTCACACAGATATTTGTGACATGAAGTCAATACCATCTCGCGGTGGAAAGAAGTATTTCATAACCTTTATTGATGATAGTACTCGATATTGCTATGTTTACTTACTTAATAGTAAAGATGAAACAATAGACGCATTCAAGCAATACAAAAATGAAGTTGAAACGCAACTTAACAAGAAAATCAAAATGATAAGAAGTGATAAGGGTGGTGAATATGAATCTTCTTTTCAAGAAACATGTTTAGAATATGAAATTATTCATCAAACAACGGCCCCTTACACGCCCCATTCCAATGGGATTGCGGAAAGAAAGAATCGTACATTAAAGGATATGATGAACTCATTGTTGATAAGTTCTGGTTTGCCACAGAACTTATGGGGGGAAGCCGTTCTTACGGCTAATCGAGTATTAAATCGAGTTCCCCATAGCAAAATACAATCCATTCCATGTGATAAATGGAAAGGAAGGAAGCCCAACTTGAATTATTTTAAAGTGTGGGGATGTTTGGCAAAAGTGCAAGTTTCTAAACCCAAAAGGGTAAAAATAGGATCGAAAACCATTGATTGTGTTTTCATAGGATATGCGACTAATAGTAAAGCATATCGATTTCTGGTTCATAGATCAGAAAATCCCGATATTCATAATAATACGGTTATAGAATTAGATAATGCTGAGTTGACTGAAAATATATATCTGTATAAAAAGGAATGTGAGTCGATTGGCGAAGGATATAGACGACCTCCGGAAGAAACAAAAGAAAGTACACTTAATCAGGAGGATCCAAGACGTAGTAAACGTCAAAGAACGTCTACTTCATTTGGACTAGATTTTGTGACTTTCTTATTGGAAAATGAGCCTCAAACATTTAAAGAAGCTATGTCTTCTTCGGAATCATTATTTTGGAAAGAGGCAGCCAATAGTGAAATAGAATCCATACTGAACAACCACACATAGGAATTGGTTGATCTTCCTCCTGAAAATAAACCTGGGTTCTAAATGGATCTTTAAGAGGAAAATGAAGGATGATGGCACTATTGATAAATTTAAGGCAAGACTTGTAGTCAAAGGGTATAGACAACGAGAAGGTCTTGACTACTTTGACACATACTCTCCAGTTACAAGAATTACGTCCATACGGATGTTAGTAGCATTAGCTGCGGTGTATGATCTTGAAATTCATCAAATGGATGTTAAGACGACCTTCTTGAATGGAGATTTAGAGGAAGAAATATACATGGAACAACCTGAAGGGTTTGTGGTTCCAGGTAAAGTAAAGAAGGTCTGTAGACTAGTTAAGTCCCTTTACGGACTAAAACAAGCACCCAAACAATGGCATGCGAAATTTGACCAAACGATGTTGTCAAATGGTTTTAAAATAAATGAATGTGATAAATGTGTGTACATTAAAAATATTTCAAATCACATAGTCATTGTTTGCTTGTATGTGGATGATATGCTGATAATGAGTAATGACATTGCCAACATAAATGCGACTAAGTGCTTGCTAACTGGCAAGTTTGATAAGAAAGACTTGGGAGTTGCTGATTTAATTCTGGGAATTAAGATCCATAAGCTCTCAAGGTATGGCATTATCACAATCTCATTATATTAAGACAGTACTTGAAAAATTCAAGCACTTAGGCTTTAAAGTTGCAAAGACTCCAATTGACGTGAATCTTGCATTAGCAAAGAACAAAGGCCAAAGCATATCACAGTTGGATTATGCTCGTATGTTGGGTTGCTTAATGTACATCATGAATTGTACACGATCAGTTATAGCTTGTGCTATAAGTAAATTGAGTCGATATACAAGCAATCCAGGTCAATTTCATTGGATGGCCATGAAACGAGTTTTGGGGTATTTAGTACATACCCAGGACTTTGCTTTGCACTACAGTAAATATCGTGCGGTCATTGAGGGATATTGTGATGCAATTTGGATCACCGGATCAACTGATTCCAAGTCCACAAGTGAATATGTATTCACTATTGATGGAGGAGCGGTATCTTGGAAGTCGTCCAAACAAACTTCAAACGTTGTTCGATAAAAGATTGAAGTGAGTCAAATGATCCATATTCCCAATGGATCTAGGCACTTTTCCATGCAGTTTGTTCGAACCTAAATCGAGAACTTCTATATGTTTCCAGCTTCCTCTAAATAGTTCATGGTAATTGGCTGTTCTTGCATAGCGCAAGGTTCAAGTATCTTAACCTCGGAATCTCGCTGATGGCCAGTGGAATTCTGCCTCTAAAACTAGAGTTGCTTAAGCCTGTATATTCAAGACTGCTAATATTTACAAGCCAACTCGGGGATATTGAGTTGAAACTATTCATTCATGCCTAGATGTTCTAAAGAAAGGCCCATAAGATTTCTACAGAAAAAGAAAAAAAAAAGAATGGAAATTAAGTTTGCTCGCTCTTGTTTGGTTTATATAGGATTTCTCTTTCCTATTTCTCTTGTTCCTCTCCCTTCACACAAAAAAAAAAAAAAAAAACAAAAAAAAAACATACATTTGAATTTGTATGAGTTGAGTACTTTTCTAAAAGCACTTCCTCTCCCTTCCGAAAATGCCGGGAGGACTCTAATAGTCTGTTTGGCCAAGCTTCTTTTTGGCCAAAAGTGTTTTTTTTTTTTAGGTCAAAAGCACTTTTGGCCAAAAATTAAGGTGTTTGGCCAAACTTTTGGAAGCAAAAAAAGTGCTTTTGAGGAGAAGCAGAAGAAGAAAAAATAGCTTCTCTCCAAAAGCACTTTTTTGAGAAGCACTTTTGAGAAAAATACACTTAGAAGCAGTTTTTTAAAGCTTGGCCAAACACTAATTGCTGCTCAAAAGTATTTTTCAAACTAATTAGCCAAACACAAACTGCTTCTCACCAAAAGTACTTTTGAGAAAAGCACTTTTAAAAAAAAGCACTTCTCAAAATAAGCTGATTTTTGCAGCTTGGCCAAACGGGCTATTAGTGCTTTTCGAAAAAGTACTTTTGGAGAGAAGTAAATTGTGTTTGGCTAATCAATCTAAAAAGTACTTTTGAGCAATAATTTGCGTATTTCGCTAAGCTTTTTAAAAAGTGCTTTTAAATATCAAATTACGAATAAGGACATGAAGAGATTTACTTAAGAAGAAATATTACATGAATAAATAAATAATCTCAAATATTTATTATTAAATATAATAATTAAGTTTTTCATTTTATTTAAGTAAAATATAAAAATAAAATTTAAAAGTACTTTAATTCTTTCAAGATGATTTAGATATTATCAAAAAATTATTTAACAAATATAAAAATATTTATCTCAAAAGTTATCATATATTAGAAAGCTATACTAAAAATAAAAAGAAATATTTATATATTAGAAGAGTTCAATAATATAATCTCTATTTTTAAGTATTAGGTTTAAAATAAGTAACGTTATTTTGATATATACCATATTTTGCTAAGGTACTTTTGGTTAGAAGAAAAGATAAAACTGCTTCTGCTTCTGGGGAGAAGCTATGTTTTTTGTTTATCTAAAATTGCTTCTACTTCTTCTCGAGAATATTTTTTTTTTCCAAAAAATTTGGCCAAACACGTAAAAAAAAATACTTTTTGAGAATAAAAGTGCTTGTGGGATGGGATGCGGAAGTAGCTTGGCCAAATAGGCTATAAACAATTTATTGCTCCTACAAAATTACCCATGTAATACTAAACTACTATCAGCCGTAAGATCAGTTACTATGTAAGGTTGTCGTGACACGTGTCACTCATCCAAACCCCTCTCTCTGTCTTCCAGCGAAACACAAAACCCCCAAGAACAGAAAACTCAAAGAGCTTCATTTCATCACTTCACTTGTCGCATGGATGGTGAGAGCAGCAAAAGGGCATGCGTTAAAGTCGGGAACGACGTCGTTGGAGGGAGGTGGGATGAGTTAAACCCGGAGATATTAGCTTCGATATTCGTAAGGATTGTTCCGGCGGAGGTGATGGTTAGGACGGTGGCATTAGTTTGCCGGAGTTGGATGGAGGCGGTGGCAGGGCCGTACTGCTGGGCGGAGATTGACTTGGAAAACTGGTGCCGGAAATGCTGCATTGCTAACAAATTCCACCTCATTGACCCTCTCGTACGGAAAATTGTTCGCCGGAGCAGATTCACTTTCCGGCGACTCTCCACTTACCGTCTCGGCAATGTTGGATTCTCCTACGCTGCTAACTGGTATTGTTCTTCTTGCTGTTTTGCCTAGAGATTCTTTAAGGTATGGTTCATGGGTTTGGGGAAAAGGTCCAAATTTACCCCTTAATTATATAAAATATCTTAATTTTAAGCTCCGTTATACTTTCGGATATTCATACAATTGCAATTAGCAATTTTTCCCTTAAATTTAACGAGCTTTAGAAATGGCCCTAAATATAACAGAGACCAAATAAAGATTCCCCTTTTTTGTGGTTTAGCTCGAAAGCTTTTAGTCCAGCTGTGCCGTTAGATTATTCCAACTATATATGTGTTCTAGATGAAACATTGTGCTTTTATTTCCAATTTCATTTTAAAGGATACAGAAAACAAACATGGAAATGACACAAAATAGCTCAACACCGGCAGAACTACTATAAAACTCTCTTGTGAAAATTTTTCATATTATAAGAAATTTGAGAGAGCGAATGAGATTGATCGAAAACATAGTCTGAATTGGTCCGGAAAGACATGGGACTTTTTGGGCGTAAAAGTGCTTCTCTTACGATATTTCGAGTTGTAGGGTAAGTGTAAGCCGTCCAAGACAGACCTTTCTAAAATGGTAGGAAATGGGGAAAAAAAAAATTAAATTTTGGCATGAATATTGGACACAAAGGGTAGATATATCTATGTTGTGCAGACTCTCCAAAATGTTGTCGGATCCTCCAAAAATACACTGCTTTTGGAGGATCCGACACGTTCCCGGAGATATTTTTGGAGAGTCGCAACATGGCTATGAATAAAGAAGCCACTATTCTGCAATGTAAATCTGGTAACGGATGGAACAGGGTTAAAAAGCTCACACCTGATGGGGAGGACTCTATTGCTTTGTAGTATGCTGGGAAAGGTGTTTCTTTTGTCAGGTCATGCTTTCATAAAGTATCTGAAGGGGTTTCCGGCTTTCAACAGTGTCCTTGGAAGATTATATGGGGCTCAGAAGCTCTCATAAAGTATCTGAAGGGGTTTCCGGCTTTCAACAGTGTCCTTGGAAGATTATATGGGGCTCAGAAGCTCCATGCATGGTGTCCTGTTTTTGCTGAGTTATAGCTCATAATGCTTGTTTAATGCATTCGAATCTGCAAAGAAGAGTTTTCAAATTTGCAGCAGCTGTTTTTTCTTCGAACAGGAAGCTGAAGGCTCCATGCATTTATTCTTACGTTGCTGGATTCCAAGGATTCCCTGGGATCTATTTTTGCAGTTTTTTTGGAGTGAAATGGGTAATGCCTGGCACTGTTAAAGCTATTTTTCTGTAATAACCGAGGAATCTAGGAAAACAATCCCTGCTTTTGCATATGCTGGGTCATTTGGACAGAAAGGAATCAGAGATGTTTTGAGGGAAAAGCTGCCAATGTACATATGATGAAATATAGAATCCCTGTTAGTTGTGAAGAGGATACGCTAGACTTGATAAGGTTTTTGGCTAATTGAGTACTTTCGCTCAGGGAACTATTTGTACTGATCTGCGCCATCTTAGTGCTGATCAAGTTTGCTTATATTAATAGTGTATTATTACCTTCACTGGAAAAAAAAGTTCTACTCTACATTAACATTTGCACTTCACTCTGTCATGTATATGTAATTGGATGCCCTACAAGTCCCCACCTATACCCTAGTTTATATACGTGAGACTTTTGTTTTTTATCTTCAGATTGAAGCAAAGGTATCATTATATTGATCTTAATTTATAGAGAATATACCAATATGTTTTTGCAGTGGAAGATGTCTCAAGATACTGCAAATCCCTATGAGTGAAGTCACTGACCAGGTGGTGGAAAAGCATGCAGGGTCCTTGGTCAATCTAACCTTCTTAGACATTAGCTACTGTGTAAATATCACAGCAAAGGGTCTCAAAGCTTTTGGATTACAATGCAAGTCCTTGACTCATCTCAGAAGAAACATGCCTCCGTGGGATCTGCCCACTAAATTTGAAGCTTCCGGTGTCAATGATCACGAGGCGTTGATTATAGCAGAAACCATGAGTGGTCTCCAGCGCCTTGACCTCGCATTCAACCGATTGAGTGACAATGGCCTTGACGCTATTCTCACCCAGTGTAAAGTGCTAATGCACCTTGAAATCCAAGGGTGTTGGAATGTGGAGCTGAAGGGTAATCTTGAGGAAAGATGTGAAAAACTTGTAGATTTCTGGAGCCCTTGGATCCATGAATATGAGGATGGGCATGCTGAATCTTCTGATATTGGAAGTAGAGAAGATGAATGTGATGAAGAATCAATCTACTCAGAATCACCCTCTTCATCAGATTTGGATTAGATGGTTGCATTTCACTTTTCTTTTTAGTATAATTGTGCTAATCTTTTGGATGTGTATTAATGCATATCACCATGTACTAACATTCCGAAATGGCTTTTGGTTTGTTTTTGAGACATGTTATGGGTAAGAGTTGTGAACAAGATACATAGAAAGTGATGGCAATTGATGCTAGTACTGGTGGTGAAAGTACATTATTAGTATCTTGAAGCTTTTGTATGTTTAATGAGATCTATGTATGCTGCTTTAACATGTTACTTAACTATGAATTTATGGCTTCTTTATAATCTCGTGTCGCTGTGTGCCTGTGTTCTTGTTTGATAAGCTTCTTGAATTGTCATTTTCTTTAAAAGTCATTTATTTTAAAGAATTAGCAAGGAGAAGGGGAAAGAAAAAGAGAAAATAAATAGAGTAAATTTCTTACCTCATGCGCCGTTTATTTCCGTATCCTTCTTAACTCATTTAGGGCCCATTTGTCCATAGATTGTTTTTCCTTTTATTCGAGTTTTGTTTTTTTAAACGTGTTAGTCCATAAAATATTTTAAGCTTTTGAAGATGTTCTGAAAATGACTTTTTCAAAAACTAAAATTTCTTAAAAAAAAAAAAAGAAAAAAAGAAAAAAAACTCTTTTCCTCACCCATAAAACAATATATTTTCAAGTGAAATGCGTGTCCAAACACAATTTCAAATTTCTAATACTATTTTTCAATTTCACTCCAAACACTACATTTTCGTTAAAATTACAATATTTGTGTCCAAACACCTACTTACTCAATGTTCCTGTTGGAAGTGGAAACAAAGATCTAAAGTAACATCTGGATCGGAAAACAGAAGAGAGTCCGCCCGTTCTATTTTATCGACGTATCTGTATTTCTGCTTTCATGACCAAATAATATATAAGCAAAGGCACCTTGTCTATTCACAATAGACATATTCTTATATTCAGACATCATATCAGACGTTCAATTAGTAACTTTTTTTTTTTAATCTTTCTCTTCTCTGAATCTAAAATGAAAATTCTACATTTAACTGTCCAATAGTAAGGCGGTTTAGCTTAAAGTGTTCCTCCTACCTGTTTGAAAAATGTAATAATCTACTTTAAATTAAAGTTGGTTCATTATGTTTCTAAACGAGCCGGCTAACTTAGCTGATTAACTAAATAAATTATTCAGTACAGCTAAGTGTGTTGTTATATATTTAACTATAAAATATAGTTAAACCTTTCTATAATAACATTGTTTGTTTTAATATTATTTTGGCTTTTATATTAAACTAGTTTTAGGATACGCGCTTTGCGCGTTAACCCTATGTTTGAGTACATAATTTTAAGAAAATTAGTATTAAATAATATGATTGTGTGATAAAATAAATATAATTTTTTCTTATAAATTCTTGAAAACGATAAATAATAATATGATTTAGAGGAAGAAACAATGAAAGGACAAACAACAAATAGAATAAATAATGAAGTCCTAAAATTAATTGTGATTATAGTTTTGTCAAACATCGAATTTACTTATGAAGAGTAAGAAAGTCAATCAATATTTTGTATTGAAGTTGTTCGGCCCATGCCCATGTTGTCCAGCCAAAGGCCCAATGGCCTAATCCTATTTTTTTTGGTTTCTATCTTATTCATCTTGGTCTTTGATTTGAATGGTGAAGATCGGATTTCGAGGTCCGTAGCATCTGATTTCGAGCCCCGAACAGCAGCTCCAGTTTTGTGACTTATCCTCTTTCTTCAATTGATTTGTTGTTGCTCTTGTTACTCCATGTTTGGCACTTGTTGTGTAGCCAATTTGGAGAACTTTTGTAACCTCTTGTTATTGTAGTGGAGCTTTTTGGATCTTTGTGATCCCGTGATTTTTACCTTCGGTTTGAAGTATTTTCCACGTTAAAATTTATTGTTCTTTATTTTGTTTGTTTCCGGGTTTGCCTCTTCCTCGACATAACAGAAGTTTCGTGCTTGTGTAATTGTATATGTTAGTTCCTATGTTTTAGGACTACAGTTTAGCTTTGAATAGTAGCAGTTACTTTGACTGCAGTTACTTAGTTTAAATTCTGCAGTTATTATTTTTCCAGTATCTTTGTTAGTTTTTTTTAAGTAGATCATATGCTGATATTCAGGAACATGTATGGGTGTGCATTCGAATCGGTTTATCGATTTATCGATTTCGATTTTGACATTTTCCTTATCGAGTTATCGATTTCGATTTCGATTTTGTCCTCTTCGGTTATCGATTTATCGATAAACCGATAAGATATACTAAAAGATAATTTTTTTAAATTTTTTTTTACCCTTATTCTATAATACCTTTTCTTTTACCCTAAGTCCCTAACCCTATTATTTCCTCTGCCACATTTAAGGAATGATCTTAGTTAAAACTCAAGGGAATGAAGTTCAAATTAATGGAAAACAAAATTAGCCGTGATGATGTATTTTTTTATACCGTTGGAGTGTTGGTGGCATACATTTGATCCCTTACTTTAGTTTCGTTGCATGTGCTTGTTGACACAATTTTTATGTTATAAACGGTGTTCGTCTTATTTTAGCTTCTTTTTGTCCATATTAGTTAGGCGTGTTTATAGCGATATACTTCCGTGGAATTCCGCAAATTTTCTTATTGGTGTAATCGATAACCGAATCGATAAGCCCCAAAAATCGATAAATTGAAATCGAAACCTTATTAAAACGATAACGATAAGCATATGTACAAATCGATAATCGATAAGTAATTATCGATAAGGGTCAAAATCGAATCGATAAATCGATGCACACCCCTAGGTCCATGAAGTTAGTAGTTAAGTTTTTCTTATAAAATTGTAACTCATATTACAATGAAAAGTATCCTTGTTCTGTATTAGTCTTATGCTCTCTCTTTTCGGATTTCTTCTCTGTTCTTCATTCCTTTAATATTTTGCTCTTTCATTAATTACAAACATTCACTTGTTTTCTGATTTGTTGATTAATGTTAACAACAATTTGTATCGGAGCTTTTTTTTTAGGAGCCCGTGTAAGTGCAAGAAGATTATGTGGACTCTATGGACGGAGAAATAAGTTTTTCTTCAATTGCGCCACCAACCTTTGATGGAGAAAGTTATCAGATCTGGGTAGTTAGAATGCAGACCTATTTGGAAGCATTGGATCTTTGGGAGGTTGTTGAAGAAGATTACGAGATTGCTCCCTTGCCAAACGACCCCACAACGGCTCAGATAAAAAATTACAAGGAGAGGAAAACCAGAAGTGCAAAGGGAAAGGCATGCTTGTTTGCTGTAGTTTCATCCACCATCTTCACTCGTATCATGTCTCTGAAGTCAGCAAAAGAGGTATGGGATTATCTCAAGATTGAATATGAAGGAGATGAAAAACTTTGAGGAATGCAAGTGCTGGATTTGGTGCGTGAATTTGAGTTGCAAAGGATGAAAGACAGTGAAATTATAAAGAAGTATTCTAACAGTAAACATAGCAAATCGTGTCAGATTGTTGGGTTCCACTTTAAACGATTCAAAGATCCTTGTAATGGTTCCTAAAAGATTTGAGGCTACCATTACAACCTTAGAAAATACAAAGGACTTGTCCAAAATTACACTAGTAGAGCTCTTGAGTGCTTTTCAAGCACAAGAGCAACGACGTGTTATGAGACAAGAAGAAGCTGTTGAAGGAGCCTTACCAGTTAAGCATCAAGACAGTAGAAGAAACCAGAAGAAGCAGAACAAAAAGATCCAAGGAGCAGACAATGAGAATGTTGGACACAGCAACAAAATCAAGATTGAGAGCAAGAAGATAAACTTTCCGCCTTGTCAACAATGTGGTAAAAAACGTCACCCTCCTTTCAAATATTGGAGGAGACCTGATGCGAAGTGCAGCAAGTGCAATCAGCAAGAGCACTAACCACACGACGTATGATAAGGCGTTGTGAGTTAAGGAGCACTGAGACAAGTAATGTAACATGAAGTGGGCATCATGGGTTTTATAACCGGATGCTTTTCTTTCATCTAGTTGCACACATCTAGACATGTTGGAAGCACTGCCATCAGGTAGCTTCGCTGTAAAACACCACAGAAAATTGATTTCTCTCCATTGGTCATTGAGAAGCACACTTTTGCAAACTTTGTTCTCTTGCCATCCTTTGTATCCTTTGGTTTAAGGTTCTTTCTAATGCCCATATCTTTCAAATCATAACGAGCATTTGCATGATCCTTTGTCTTGCCAGGAATATCCAAAAGAGTTCCAATTACGTTATCAACTATGTTTTTCTCTATATGCATTACGTCAAGAGCTGATTGTCACTGATTGTCCATAAAAGAGCTGCTTGCATTTGAAAGGTTTGATCTCTTGAAGCATCATATGTTTCTATCCCGGACCACAACACATTTAACTCTTCTATTAATGGTTGTAAATAACTGTTAATGTTGTTTCCAGGTGATCGCGGCCCGGGTATAAGCAGAAAAAAGCATACAATATTCTGGATTCATGCACATCCAAAGAGGCAAATTATACGCCATTAAGATAACTGGCCATGTGCTATGAGATATGCTCGTGGTTCGAAATGGATTAAACCCATCACTTGCCAATCCAAGTCTCAAATTGCGAGGATCTCTTGCGAAATCTGGATGCAAGCTATCAAAGTCTTTCCATGCTTGGCCATCAGTAGGATGCCTTAAGTTTCCATCTTTAGAACGCTCTTCGTCATGCCACCTCAATGTACCTGCTGTCTTTGAGCACATAAATAGCCTTTTGAGTCTAGGAATTAATGGAAAGTGTCTCAAAGTTTTTGCTGGAACACGATAAGATTTCTTGGAAGCCTCAAGCTCGTTATCTACTTCAGGATATTTAATATATCGAGAAGCTCCACAGACATGATAATATTCATCATCCTTATGATCATTCCCAAATAGCATGCAATCATTGGGACATGCATCAATTTTTTCATAATCAAGCATCGCCTCTTTTAATAACTCTAAAAGAGAAGTGAATGATGCATTACTCCATCCATGTAGACACTTCAACAAATATAGACGAATTGTGAAAGATAATTTAGAGAATCCTTTACAACCAGGATATAGTTCTTAGCTTGCCTCGTCAACTAAATTATAGAATTTATTAGAATCTTCGTTTGGACCTTCATACACTCCTTCAACTTGTGCGACATCTCTAAATTGATCCTTCAACAATCCATTAATGTCATCATAAGAGTTAACATCGTCATCCATGTCACATTCAACATTCATCGGAGTTTCCCATTCCCCGTGAAATCATCTTGTATAACCTTGAACAAATGCATAACATATT